CTCATTCAAATTTCTTGTAAGACTGCGCCTATGGTTTAGGAATGTGCAGTCGAAATTTCAAGCCAATCCATTGAGTATTGCGGATTTGGCAGTACTTTGTAGCAAGGGTCATTTAGCCAGAGACCCACCAGTTTTTCAGCATCCCTGTTGTAATGGCCATTTTCGCTGTTTTGAGGAGCACGCCTTTCCGGCAGCGCTACAGAGCCGCCCGGGCAAAACTATCTACGCCATTTGGACAGAAGATCATGGAGGTGCTGGCAAAGGCAAAGGGCAACAGAAAATGTGTCTTGAAAGTCCTGATCGTGGAAGTCGCCGTGTTTTGCGACTGCAGTTCAAGTTCGATTGGCCAAGAGATGCCCATCAGGTCCAAATTTCTGAACCATGACATTTGGACCTCTAACTCCACTACGAGGGACACTACAAGAGGACTCCCAAATTCCTCACAAACCTTTAGGAAGGTGGTGGCCATCACCCCATTCAGCGGTGGACAATTATGGGGCAATTAGGGGGCAATTAGGTAGCGACTCTCCTGGATAGGAATAGCGAATCGACCATTTTTTGGCACTTGAAGGGCTTGAGCTTGAGAAGACTAGCTAGATAGATAGATAAAACTATTGATTATTAAAGGGAAACGCACTTTTTGGGCTGCGACAGATTGCGGACTGCACCCAAGAATGGGCAGATCGTGATAAGGTGATCGTGATCATAGATAAAAATATGTCTCTCAAAAGAAAACTCACTTGTTGGGCTGCGATAGATTGTGGATTGCATGCAAGAATTGGCAAGTCGCGGCGGTTTGTGGGGTGTGGGCCAGGCTGCTCACAAAAACAACGATTCAAGCCTCAATCGTGGCAGATTGTCCAAACAAGTCTATTGCATAACCTTGGAACAATAGCTCGCGCATAGCCCAAGCTTGAACACCCTGTGACCTGGCCTTATCCGCTTGTTTTACGTATGCACGCCAAAGATCGACGATGGCCGAGATTTCAAAAATCGTCAAAACTACGATAATGGCCTTCTACGATGGGGATCCAGACATGCTCGCGCGTGTTTGGCAAGCCCTATTCCACACAAGGGACACCGCCCTTCACTGCAAAAATGACAGGCTTATCTATAGTGCACCAAGGACGGGAGTGACCCAGAAACGTGCAGTTCTCTAGCAGATGCGGAATCTGCATGCACACTTTGTGGACGATTTTCGGCCAATTTTTGGGGCCAGAGAGTGTGGTACTAATTATTTTTTCCTAAAAATTGGTAGTTAAGGGCGTTGCAGCCCAATCTTTCCGATTCCGATATTTTTAGGCAATTTTAAGGTGTTGTTTGTAACGAATTTTGTCTCTCAAAAAGGACAATTAATTCCGGACGGAGGAAGTATAAGCCTACCAAATTCGGCATAACGTCTGCCATTAATTTGTTAAAAAAATAAAAGCCTACCAAAATTCGACATAGAGCCTTCCATTAATTTGTTGGAAAAATGAAAGCCTGATGAACAGTAGCAGGATCTCGAAACGCTAAGATTCACGAAACCTTCAAGACTCGATGTGCGGCGTTGATCACTAGGAAAAAGAGGGACAAATTGCAGGTGCTCAAGCGTGTACAATTTTTTCGGGTTTCTGTTGCTTTCGTTTCTTTAGCGTGCAGAACGCTGACGAAATGCAAATATATGTGTTCGCAAGAAGTTTTATTTGGTCCCTTTTTTCCCAGTGCGTCAACCTCTACCCAGGCAGAGTCCCCATCCATGGGATATGCACTAGGAAAAAAGGGCCAAATAACACGTGTTCAAATGTGTACAAAGTTTACGGGTTTGTGTTGTTTATGTGTTCTTAGCGTGTAAAACTATGATGAAATGTGTTTTATGTGTATTCGAAAAAGTGTTATTTGGCCCTTTTTTCCTAGTGATGGGAGAGCCAAATCGGAAAAACGATCTTTCGAGAGAAGGTGGAAAAGTTCAAAATTTCAAAGTGCTGCGTGTGCCGCTCTAAAAGCGATTAACACTGACTACAGGCAGGGCACATCGCGTCGTCATGCAGCGCGGCCAAAGGAGCACGGTATGCTGCGCGGCACAGACGATGCGCAGTGTGATGGCTTGCCTCGTATGCAGGCTGCAAAGGCAGGGGGAATTTCAGCATTTTCACTTGAATATGCAGTACTCCAATTCGCTCCCGTTGTCTCCATTAACGAGGGAGAATTGTGATGTCATTTGACAACATGACGACAAGCGGAATGTAAACAGGGTGTGGTGGGCGCTGCCAGCGCGAGCCAACAATACAGAATTCGGCGCAGGTGAAACAGACTCCCTGTGGACCGCAGCAAATCAGGACAAGTTATTACGAGTTCACACATTTTGAGTCAGCCTTCCAATCACAGCAGCTCCGCCAGAAATGATACCTACAACATACTTAAGAACTTCTGCATCGCTTCGATAGCGCCGGTCCCTTTACTCCAAAAGTTCCAGACTCCGACGCTGTGGGCTCTAAACTCTGGGGTAATGCAGGGGCTACTAACAATCTGGCATCATGCGTGGTACGGCCTTCGCCACGTTCCCCGATCTGCCAAACGTCCCAGCGGCGGTCCATTCGAGACCGCGGCGGTAAGCATATCATCGACTGCACGTCCAGCGCACTCATCTCATGGCGGCTCCCTCGACGCAGATATGCACTGTGGTAACTAGGCTCTGGCGGAGTTCACTTCCTTTCTTGTCCCCGAATGGTAGCTTGGTCAAAACTGCGCACCTCTTGCCTCTGCGCGGCGACCTGCGCACATCAGACACTTGTCCTGAAGTCTCGCGCAGCTGCAGCCAAAGCTACTGGAAACAGAAGCCTTGCCATGCAGCCTGGAAGGAAGTGTACGGGGGATTAGTTATTAATGGATTCATGGCAACAATGTGCGGTTGCACAGAGTCCCTTGCTTATCTCATTGTCCAATCAACGCATCAGAACTATGCAACATAAGTCTCCTGGACACTTCGCTGCAGCGTGCGAGAGATTCAGCATGAAAGAAGAAAGATGCGCTCGCACGACGGACAGTTGAACGACATGTGCGTTTTTCCAGCTGCCTGCATGGGCTCAGCAAATCAATGTTGTCACGAAGCAGCTTTGGTCAGATAATTGCTGTGATCTATTTGCTGGCACACATTGCCCGCTGGGTGTGCAAGTCAATCGATTTGCTGCAACTGGATATATGGACATTCTTCACGACCAGCTGCACCATCCTCTGCCCCCGCCACTTTCGCTAGGAATAAATAGGATCCAATAAGCGAGAAATAAGCGACGGTGACCGGTATGACAGCATGGAGCGATAACAGTTTCTATTCGCCCCATTTTAGCGGTGTTAATGTGAAAATTCAGGAAACAACACTGACCCGTACGACAGTATGCAGTGTCATCAATCTAACTTTGCCCCATTTTAGTGGTGTTAATGTGAATTTAAAATGTGCGCCACCTCCCCCCAGCGTTCTCAATCCTCTCATTACGTTAGATGCGGAACTAGAGATCAGGCTTGGTTTTTGCGCCGTGAAAACTGATCGTATTTACGTTTTTACGCGTAAATTTTTTTTCACTTTTTTAGGCGTGAAATGAAAAAATACGTCAGCACAACGTACAAATTGCCTGGCTTACATAAGCACAGTACATATAGATTAACAGAGTCCGGGGAGTGGCAGACAGATGCCTTGGAAAAGGCAGAAAACGAGCTCTTGTTAAGCATCATTATCGCCCTTGCCAAGAGCGAGGTGGACAGTATGTTGCGAGCGCTGGAAATGGCGGGCGACTGGTCATTGTATACAACTTTCTTCGTGCTACCTACGCGTGCCAGGGCGCCGTAAAAACGTAAAAATAGACGTAAAAATAGAGCCTTTTGCAAATTTATGTTTTTATGCGTAAAAACGTAAATAAAACGTAAACGAAAACGTAAAAAACAAGCCTGCTAGCGATGGGGAGATCCAGGATGGCTTCTTGCCTTGATTGCCTTGGTAGAGACCAAAAAATGCCTCCATGCGTGTGTGCAGAGATACATGAATTTTAAGGTGTTATATTGGAAATCAGGGAACAACAATTTGTCTGACGTTTCTGGTCAGGTAGATGTGCTTGATGCCTACCTGCTGAAATTGGCGCTTGGCATCTTCAGCCGCTGGCGGCTGTGGCAGACGACTTAGACGAGGATTTGGCGCTGTAGGGAGTCGTTTCGGCCGTGGTCTTCGTTTTCGTCGTGGCGTACTCACCCACCGCCAGGGCCTGCGCGTCGCCCCTTGCCACTTGCACAGTATCTGCGCCCAACGACCCCGAACCATATTCAGAACTGTCGGCCGTCGCTATTCAAGGCAGCCGATGCTGTCTGCGCCACGATAGGGTCATCGCAAGCGAAAATGGCACCGCGCAATGGAGTTGTTGAGCCCGATTCGCGGGCAGCCACCCCGAGACAGACGAGCGCGGGGAAAAGCCCACGATTGGGCTCCATGATTCGCATCAGCAAACGACCAAAAGGCGGCTTTCCTGCACGCCAAAGCACTTACAGTAGGGGTAGTAGCCGTAGGGGTGGACAGTGGCGGCCGTCGAGGAGGACACTGAGCCCGCCACGTAGGGCAGCGTCACGGTTATGGTGTTCGAGTCAGCGTAGCCTAAGGCGCCTGTGGCCTTGGCATCGGCTTTGGCCTTGGCATTCGAATTGGTGTCCGGCTTGTCTGCAGCCACCAGGGAAATGGAGCTGTTAGGTTGAGATTCAAGAACATTGTATTATGCCATTGGTGAACGACGATGAGCACCCAATGCCTTTGTCTATCACGGTGTGCAGCTCAAATCTGAATAGACAGCCGTTCAATCAGTGGATGTCCTCAGCTGACTTTTTTGTTTGATCATGAGATTCTGGCATGGAGGCGCCTGGCAACCGAGTTGAGGTATGAGATAATGCGAAACACGAGACAGCTCGTCGCGATGTACAGGCGAGCAAAATGTGAGGCACATCATTGCATCGACAAATTGGAGCACATTGCGAACTGCTCTCACCTGACATGTCCAGGCTGCGCAGCTTGCGGCCGCTGGCGGCTATGGCAGACGACTTAGACGAGGACTTGGCGCTGTAGGGAGTAGTTTTGGCGGTGGTCTTCGTTTTCGTCGAGGCGTACTCACCTACCGCCAGGGCCTGTGCGTCTCCCGCTGCCACAGTATCTGCACCCAACGACCGGGAACCATATTCAGAGCTGCCGGACGTCGCTCTTCAAGGGAGCCGATGCTGTCTGCGCCACGATAGGATCATTGCAAGCAAAAATGGCACCGCGCGATGGAGTTGTTGAACCCAATTCGCGGGCAGCCACCACGAGACAGGCGAGCGCGCGGAAAATCCACGATTGGGCTCCATGAACCACGTCAGCAAACGACCAAAAGCCGGCTTTCCTGCACACCAGAGCACTTACAGTAGTAGCCGTAGGGGTAGGCGGTGGCGGCCTTGGAGGAGGATTTTGAGCCCGACACGTAGGGCAGCGTCAAGGTTGTGGTGTCCGAGTCAGCGTAGCCGTAGGGGCCTTTGGCCTCGGCATCGGCCTTGGCGTTGGCATACATGCTGCGCAGCTTGCGGCCGCTGGCGGCTGTGGCAGACGACTTAGACGAGGACTTGGCGCTGTAGGGAGTAGTTTTGGCCGTGGTCTTCGTTTTCGTCGAGGCGTACTCACCTACCGCCAGGCTCTGCGCGTCTCCCGCTGCCACAGTATCTGCACCCAACGACCGGGGACCATATTCAGAACTGTCGGACGTCGCTCTTCAAGGGAGCCGATGCTGTCTGCGCCACGATAGGATCATTGCAAGCAAAAATGGCACCGCGCGATGGAGTTGTTGAGCCCAATTCGCGGGCAGCCACCCCGAGACAGGCGAGCGCGCGGAAAATCCACGATTGGGCTCCATGAACCACGTCAGCAAACGACCAAAAGCCGGCTTTCCTGCACACCAGAGCACTTACAGTAGTAGCCGTAGGGGTAGGCGGTGGCGGCCTTGGAGGAGGATTTTGAGCCCGACACGTAGGGCAGCGTCAAGGTTGTGGTGTCCGAGTCAGCGTAGCCGTAGGGGCCTTTGGCCTTGGCATCGGCCTTGGCGTTGGCATACGTAATGGTGTCGTACTCTTCTGCAGCCACCAGCGAAATGGAGCTGTTAGGTTGAGCTTCCAGAACATGGTATTATGCCATTGGTGAACGACGATGAGCGCCCAATGCCTTTGTCTATCACGGTGGGCAGATCAAAGATGAATAGACAGCCGTTGAATCAGTGGATGTCCTCAGCTGACTTTTTTGTTTGATCATGAGATTCTGGCATGGAGGCGCCTGGCAACCGAGCTGAGGTATGAGATAATGAGAAACACGAGACAGCTCGTCGCGATGTACAGGCGAGCAAAATGTGAGGCACATCATTGCATCGACAAATTGGATGCACAATGCGAGCTACTCTCACCCCTCGGCGGCGCGCTAGCGTACCAGCGAGCAACTTAGGCGAGGACTTAGCGCTGTAAGGGGTAGTTTTGGCGGGGTACGCTGGTGTCGTCGAAACGACCAGAACCGCCATATTCACAACTGTCGGGCGTCGCTCTTCAAGGGAGGCGATGCTGTCCGCGCCAAGGTAGGGTCATCGGAAACGAAATGGCACCGCGCGATGGAGTTGTTGAGCCCAATTCGCGGGCAGCCACCCCGAGACAGGCGAGCGCGCGGAAAATCCACGATTGGGCTCCATGAACCACGTCAGCAAACGACCAAAAGCCGGCTTTCCTGCACACCAGAGCACTTACAGTAGTAGCCGTAGGGGTAGGCGGTGGCGGCCTTGGAGGAGGATTTTGAGCCCGACACGTCGGGCAGCGTCAAGGTTGTGGTGTCCGAGTCAGCGTAGCCGTAGGGGCCTTTGGCCTCGGCATCGGCCTTGGCGTTGGCATACATGCTGCGCAGCTTGCGGCCGCTGGCGGCTGTGGCAGACGACTTAGACGAGGACTTGGCGCTGTAGGGAGTAGTTTTGGCCGTGGTCTTCGTTTTCGTCGAGGCGTACTCACCTACCGCCAGGGCCTGTGCGTCTCCCGCTGCCACAGTATCTGCACCCAACGACCGGGGACCATATTCAGAACTGTCGGACGTCGCTCTTCAAGGGAGCCGATGCTGTCTGCGCCACAATAGGGTTATTGCAAGCAAAAATGGCACCGCGCGATGGAGTTGTTGAGCCCAATTCGCGGGCAGCCACCCCGAGACAGGCGAGCGCGCGGAAAATCCACGATTGGGCTCCATGAACCACGTCAGCAAACGACCAAAAGCCGGCTTTCCTGCACACCAGAGCACTTACAGTAGTAGCCGTAGGGGTAGGCGGTGGCGGCCTTGGAGGAGGATTTTGAGCCCGACACGTAGGGCAGCGTCAAGGTTGTGGTGTCCGAGTCAGCGTAGCCGTAGGGGCCTTTGGCCTTGGCATCGGCCTTGGCGTTGGCATACGTAATGGTGTCGTACTCTTCTGCAGCCACCAGCGAAATGGAACTGTTAGGTTTTGAGCTTCAAGAATATTGTATCATGCCATTGGTGAACGACGATGAGCGCCCAATGCCTTTGTCTATCACGCTGCGCACTCGAAGGTTCAATAGAAAGCCGTTGAAATCAGTAGGTGTTCTCAATAAGGGATGATGAAGGGCCCCAGACAGGCTTCACACAGGTCACCCTGGTGAACACTGAATGAGGCGAGCGGTACGGCGGCCAGACAGTGAATCATTTGAGAGATGCTCTTCGGACCCCTGCTGACTCGCACACTTATACTCTGGTCGGCGAAGACGGAGGCCAGACAGTGAATCACTTGATAGATGCTTTCTCGACCCCTGCGGATGCGGATACTTCCACGTGGGTCGACAGAGATCGCGGCGCTTCGGCGCTGTGCAATGCTCTCGGGCTGCCTAGGTGCCCGCCGTCGGGCAAAATCATCTCAGCCGGATCGAGCCGCCGGATCGATGCGGCAGAGCGTTCCAATCTCGCCCTCCCCATTCACTTACTCATGAGATTGCGGCTGGCGTGTGCGCCGGGGACGACGGCCAATGCCTGGGCACACGTAAAGAGACGTAAAACTCAGCCTGTTTCTCGGCTCCCCGCGGCAATGCCTTTCTAAAAACGAGGTCCCCCGCGAGGCACCGGTCCAAGAGCGGCCCAGAGGGGGCCCCCGCGACTCGTCTGGGTTCCCATTCCCGGGTTCACGCGGCACAGTTCCCCGATGGCCCTCCCATGTAGGGTCACGCTTTCTTACGTGAGAGACAAGAACGATCGACAGGGGCCGCCATGGCGGGAACAATCCGGAGAGTGGGGAGGGGTCGAAACGATCGAGACACGTCAATCTGCACTGCAAACCGGCGGGAGGGACGTCCGGACATGGATCTCAGCGGTCCGTCTGGCTCACCGTCATCGCCGCGAGGAACAGGGCGACCTTGGCGACTGCCTTCATCTTCGACCAGGGACGCCCAACGGGCGCCTTGCCTTGCGAGAGTGGCCGGTGATCCTACCTAGGGGGCGGATCCCAAATGTGGGAGAGTGACCGAGAGAGATCGTCAGGGGACGCGGCGGGAGACGATTGGGCCCTGAATGGGACCAAGATGGGGACTCAGCGAAGCCGCCGGCCGATCAGATCCACGCTGCGCCCGCCAGAGGCCGAAGGCCGGCGCACGGACCGTGCGGAGCGAGGGGCGCATTTCTATGCATGTGCGGCCAAGAACAGCAAGGAAATTGGGGTTCACCGCAACGGGGGGGGTGTTGAACTGAGAACAGAGAGAGGCAGCAAGGGCCACGACCGCGGACAGCACGACTCCCGCTCGTCGGAAGAGTCTCTCACCTGCGGGGATGGGAGCTCAGGGGAGCTAGGACGCTTTCGCTGGTGCAGTTCCCCCTTTTATGCCAAACGTGGTGCCGGGATTGCAGTCGCAAGAACCGTGCGATAGTACCAATTCTACACAAGGGGCTTTTGAACTGGTCGTCAGCAGAGCCTAACGTGGTCGCTTGCGGGCCATCTGCGCTGAAATTGGGAACGCTTCCCAGGAAATGGACTGGCAGATGCCGCATCAATGCCTGCTGAGGGGCACAAACCTGCAGCGTGTTGAAGGGTCGCAGGGCGGCTCTGCTTGATCAGCGGCAGCGAAGAGTGACCCCGCTGGTCTTGTCAAATCCAACGTACCCCGAAAGTTTGGGGCGCATTAGGTGTTGCGCTCTAGTGTTTGATCCGAACCGCAAACTCCTGCCATCAAATAGCGCTGGCTGCCACCGAGGCTGCGCGTCCTGAGGGGCGCAGGACGGTTTCATTGGATCGGCCTACCCTGCTGCAACAGAGGGCAAGCCCCGGAGTACTTCGGTGCGACCGTTTGCGAGGCCACGTTGTGTGACCTGCACTATACGGTGGGTGTCCTTTTGCCACTTACCAAATTCGACATAGCGTCTCCCCTTAGTTAATGAAATATAGAAGCCTGCTGATCAGTAGCAAGCTTTTCCAAACGCTGACGACTCAAGAAACCTTCAAGGCTCGATGGGCGGCGCACATCAACCTCTACAAAGGCTGAATCCACACCCATGGCATATGGAAGAGCAAAATGGGCAAAGAACTTTCGAGAAAAGGCGGCAAAGTTCAAAATGTCAAAGTGCTCTAAAAGCGATCAATACTGAATACAGACGGGGCACATCGAATCGGTATGCAGCACAGCCAATGGCGCACGGTATGCGGTGCGGAATAGAGGGTGATGCGCGGCGCGATGGCTTGCCTCGTATACAGGCTGCCAGGGTAGGTAGAATTTTCATATCGTCACTTGAATATGCAATTCTCCAATTCGCCTCCGTTGTCTCCACCAACGAGGGAGAAGTGCGACGGCATTTTACAACTTGACGAAAAGCGGAATGTCCAGGGTGTGGTGGGCGCTGCCAGCTCGAACCAACAGATGTAGAATTCGGCATAGGTGGAAGAGGTTCCGAATGCACCGCAGCAAATTAATACAAATGATTACAACAGGGTCGGAGTTCATACATCTTGAGTCAGCCTTCCAATAACAGCACCTCCGCCAGCAATGGTACTTACAACATACCTAAGAACTTCTGCATCGTTTCGATAGTGCCGGTCCCTTCACTCCAAAAGTTCCAGACTCCGACGCTGTGGGCTATAAACTCTGGGGTAATTTGGGGGGGTTCTAAAAATCTGGCATCATGTGTGGTACAGCCTTCGCCACGTGCCCCGATCTGCCAAATATCTCAGCGGCGGTCCATCCGAGACCGCGGCGGCGAACATGTCAGCAACTGCACGCCCAGCGCACTCATCACATGGCGGCTCCCTCGATGCAGATATACAGTGGGTTAGCTCGGCTATGGCGGAGGTCGCGTCGTTGCTTGTCCCCGAACGGTAACTTGGCCAAAACTGCGCATCTCTTGCCTCTGCGCGGCGACCTGCGCACGTCAAATACTGATTTTAAAATCTCGGGCAGTTGCGGTCAACTTTATTTGAAATAGAAAACTTGCCATGCAGCCTGGAAGGCGGTGCACAGGGGGACTAGTCATCAATAGATTCATGGCAACAAAGTGCGATTGTACAGAATCCCTTGCTCATGTCGTCGTCCGATCAACGCAACAGAACTGTGCAATATAACTCTCCTGGACACTTCACTCCGAGATGTTCTGGCCTTTCCAGCGTGCGGCAGGCACGAAATTCAGCATGAAATTTGGCATATGCTTCCACACGACGGAACAGTTGAACGGCATGTGTGTTTTTCGAGCTGCCTGCATGAGTTCAGCATGTCAATGTTATAAAGGAGCGGCTGTCGTCAGATGCTTGCTGTGATCTATTCGTTGGCACACATTGCTGCTTTGATGTGCAAAATCCACTGGATGTATTGAAAAACTATTTTCACGAGTAGCTGCACCATCCAATGCCCCCGCCACTTCACGAGGAGTAAGTAGTAGCCAGTACGCGATAATAAACGACGCTGACCGGTATGACAGCATGGAGTGATAACCATTTCGCTTCGCCCCATTTTAGCGGTGTTAATGTGAATTCAGGAAACAACACTGACCGGCGTGACAGTACGCAGCGTCGTCAATTTCATTTTGCCCCATTTTAGCAGTGTTAAAGTGAGTTCAGGATGTATACCGCCTCCCAACAGCGTTTTCCATCCTCTCATTATGTTTGATGACGCAGAACCAGCGATCGGGACACCCAGGATGGCTTCTTGCCTTGATTGCCTTGGTAGAGATGCGAAATGCCTCTTATGCACATGTAGAGAGATAATTGAATTTCCAGGTGCGATATCGGAAATTAGGGAAACAACAATTTGTCTGATGTTTCTGATTAGGTAGATGTGCCTGATGCCTACCTGCTGAGCTCGGCGTTTGGCATCCTCAGCCGCTGGCGGCTGTGGCAGAAGACTTGGACGAGGACTTGGCGCTGTAGGGAGTTGTTTCGGCCTCGGTCTTCGTCTTCGTCGTGGCGTACTCGCCCACCGCCAGGGCCTTCGCGTCTCCCGTTGCCACGGTGTCTGCACCCAACGACCCGGATTCAAACTCAGAAGTGTCGACGCCGCTTTTCAAGGCAGCCGCTGCTGTCTGCGCCACGAAAGGGTATTCGGGGATCAAAATGGGATCGCCCGATGGAGTCGCTGAAGCCAATCTGCGGGTCGCCACCTCAAGGCAGACCAGCACGCGGATATAACCACGATTGGCTACATGCGCCACGACGGCAAACAACTAAAGGCCGGCTTTCCTGCACGCCAGAGCACTTACAGTAGTAGCCGTAGGGGTGGGCGTTGGCGGCCGTGGAAGAGGATTTTGAGCCCGCCACGTAGGGCAGCGCCACGGTTTTGGTGTCCGAGTCAGCGTAGCCATAGTAACCTGTAGCCTCGGCCTTAGCCTTGGCCTTGGCGTCCGTATAGGTGTCCGGATGGCCTGTAGCCAGGAGCGAAATGGAGTTGTCAGGTTGTAACTTCAAGAGCATTGCACCGTGCCATTGGTGCATGATGAGCGACCAGTGCCTTAGTCTATTATGCTGCGCAGCTCAAGGCTGAAGAGAAACCCGTTCAAATCAGTGGATTTCTTCAACTGACATACTCGTTTCATCGAGAAATTCTGGAATGGAGGCGCTTGGCAACTGAGTTGAAGTATGAGATAATGAGAAACACGAGACAGCTCATTGCGATGTACAGGCGAGCAAAATGTGAGGCACATCATTGCATCGACAAATTGGATGCACAAGGCGAAGTGCGCTCACCCTGCAGCTTGCGGCCGCTGGCGGCTGTGGCAGACGACTTAGACGAGGACTTGGCGCTGTAGGGAGTAGTTTCGGCCGTGGTCTTCGTTTTCGTCGTGGCGTACTCACCCACCGCCAGGGCCTTCGCGTCTCCCGTTGCCACGGTATCTGCATCCAACGAGCCGCAACCATACTCAGAATTGCCGACGTCGCTTTCCAAGGCAGCCGCTGCTGCCTGCGCCACAAAAGGAAAACCGGAAACCAAATAGCAGGAGGCGCTCTCTTCACCAATGCCCCTGACTCATTTCATGTCCTTCGAAATTTTAGTACGAAAGTCGTTGAACTGGCAGGCAACTACCCTTACTTTGCTCGCTCTATTGTCCACGAAATTCAGAGAAAGCAATCAGTGAGATTGGCAGACCAGCCTAGCCTTTGCGGACAGACACTGTCTGTAAACTCATCATTAAGACCAGATGGCCCAGAAGCCAGAGGCAGCGCACTGGGGACAGCGGCTGTCAGGGCCACTGTTTGCACAGAGTTCTTGGGAACATGTTCTCCAGAAGGGGGAACAGTGCGGATTGTAAAACACAGGAGTGGGGGGAGCTTGGAAGCCATTGACATCAGGCTATTTGATGCATTCAACGATTGGCCTTTGGCCAAGCCCCAGTCTTTGTCCGATTGAACAGGAATGGAACAGATTCTGCTCTTGGGGGCGAGGTCATAACGCAGATGACCGCCGAGGGACGACTCACCAATATTCATTTCCAGGGCGAGGCGAACAGGGCCCACGGAATTACATTGTCATTTGATCCAGATATTTTGCCAGGCATCGAGATTGAAGTCCATGTTCGAGGCTGTGTGGCCGCAGAATTCCAAGAGAATGGAAACAGGACGTGTTTGCAGAGCCCGGAAGGACGGTACAGCTTTGCGTGGTGTCCGCTCTTGCAGAGGCGGGTGAGGGAAAACTTCAGGGACGGTGCACCGACGGAGTACCTGAAGCCAATCTGCGGGTCGCCACCCCGAGGCAGACCAGCACGCGGATATAACCACGATTGGTTACATGCGCCACAACGGCAAACAACTAAAGGCCGGCTTTCCTGCACGCCAGAGCACTTACAGTAGTAGCCGTAGGGGTGGGCATTGGCGGCCGTGGAGGAGGATTTTGAGCCCGCCACGTAGGGCAGCGCCACGGTTTTGGTGTCCGAGTCAGCGTAGCCATAGTAACCTGTAGCCTCGGCCTTGGCCTTGGCCTTGGCGTCCGTGTAGGTGTCCGGATGGCCTGTAGCCAGGAGCGAAATGAAGTTGTCAGGTTGTAACTTCAAGAGCATTGCACCGTGCCATTGGTGCATGATGAGCGACCAGTGCCTTAGTCTATTATGCTGCGCAGCTCAAGGCTGAAGAGAAACCCGTTCAAATCAGTGGATTTCTTCAACTGACGTTCTCGTTTGATCGAGAAATTCTGGCACGGAGGCGCTTGGCAACTGAGTTGAGGTATAAAATAATGAGAAACACGTGACAGCTCATCACGATGTACACGCGATCAAAAAGTGAGGCACCTCATTGCATCGACAAATTGGATGTACAAGGCGAACTGTGCTCACCCTGCAGCTTGCGGCCGCTGGCGGCTGTGGCAGACGACTTAGACGAGGACTTGGCGCTGTAGGGAGTAGTCTCGGCCTCGGTCTTCGTTTTCGTCGTGGCGTACTCGCCAACCGCCAGGGCCTTCGCGTCTCCCGTTGCCACGGTGTCTGCACCCAACGACCCGGATTCATACTCAGAACTGTCGACGCCGCTTTTCAAGGCAGTCCGCTGCTGTCTGCGCCACGAAAGGGTATTCGGAAACCAAAATGGGATCGCCCGATGGAGTCGCTGAAGCCAATCTGCGGGTCGCCACCCCGAGGCAGACCAGCACGCGGAAATGACCACGATTGGCTACATGCGCCACAACGGCAAACAACTAAAGGCCGGCTTTCCTGCACGCCAGAGCACTTACAGTAGTAGCCGTAGGGGTGGGCATTGGCGGCCGTGGAGGAGGATTTTGAGCCCGCCACGTAGGGCAGCGCCACGGTTTTGGTGTCCGAGTCAGCGTAGCCATAGTAACCTGTAGCCTCGGCCTTGGCCTTGGCCTTGGCGTCCGTATAGGTGTCCGGATGGCCTGTAGCCAGGAGCGAAATGGAGTTGTCAGGTTGTAACTTCAAGATCATTGCACCGTGCCATTGGTGCATGATGAGCGACCAGTGCCTTAGTCTATTATGCTGCGCAGCTCAAGGCTGAAGAGAAACCCGTTCAAATCAGTGGATTTCTTCAACTGACATACTCGTTTCATCGAGAAATTCTGGAATGGAGGCGCTTGGCAACTGAGTTGAAGTATGAGATAATGAGAAACACGAGACAGCTCATTGCGATGTACAGGCGAGCAAAATGTGAGGCACATCATTGCATCGACAAATTGGATGCACAAGGCGAAGTGCGCTCACCCTGCAGCTTGCGGCCGCTGGCGGCTGTGGCAGACGACTTAGACGAGGACTTGGCGCTGTAGGGAGTAGTTTCGGCCGTGGTCTTCGTCTTCGTCGTGGCGTACTCGCCCACCGCCAGGGCCTTCGCGTCTCCCGTTGCCACGGTGTCTGCACCCAACGACCCGGAACCATACTCAGAACTGTCGACGTCGCTTTTCAAGGCAGTCCGCTGCTGTCTGCGCCACGAAAGGGTATTCGGAAACCAAAATGGGATCGCCCGATGGAGTCGCTGAAGCCAATCTGCGGGTCGCCACCTCAAGGCAGACCAGCACGCGGATATAACCACGATTGGCTACATGCGCCACAACGGCAAACAACAAAAGGCCGGCTTTCCTGCACGCCAGAGCACTTACAGTAGTAGCCGTAGGGGTGGGCATTGGCCGCCGTGGAGGAGGATTTTGAGCCCGCCACGTAGGGCAGCGCCACGGTTTTGGTGTCCGAGTCAGCGTAGCCATAGTAGCCTGTGGCCTCGGCCTTGGCCTTGGCCTTGGCATCTGTATAGGTTTCCGGATGGCCTGTAGCCAGGAGCGAAATGGAGTTGTCAGGTTGTAACTTCAAGAGCATTGCACCGTGCCATTAGTGAAGGATGGATGATGACCGGCCAATGGCTTAGTCTATCATGCTGCGCAGCTGAAAGCCAAAGAGAAAGGCGTTCAAATCTGTAGATGTTCTCAATAAGGGATGATGAAGGGCCCCAGACAGGCTTCACAAAGTTCGCCCTGGTGGACACTGAATGAGGCGAGCGGTACGGCGGCCAGCCAGTGAATCATTTGAGAGATGCTCTTCGGCCCCCTGCTGACTCGCACACTTATACTCTGGTCGGCAAAGACGGCAGCCATCCAGAGAATCACTTGATAGATGCTTTCTCGAACCCTGCGGATGCGAATACACTGGTAGAAACGGCATATCTGCGATGCTATTTTGACACGAAATGATCCCGTCACTGTGATTGCGATGGCATAAAAGCCGCTGCGATGGCATCAATTTGTGTCAAATGGCGTCGCAATTGGCATCGCAAACAGGCTGTTTTCTACTGGTGACACTTCCACCTGGGTCGACAAAGATCGCGGCGCTTCGACGCTGCGCAATGCTCTCGGGCTGCCTAGGTGCCCGCCGTCGGGCAAAATCATCTCAGAGCCGCCGGATCGATGCGGCGGAGCGTTCCAATCTCGCCCTCCCTATGCACTTACTCATGAGATTGCGGCTGGCGTGGGCGCCGGGGACGACGGCCAATGCCTGGGCACACGCAAAGAGATGTCAAACTCAGCATGTTATCGGCCCCCTGCGCCAATGCCTTTCTGAAAACGAAGCCCGCCTCGAGGCACGGTGCGAAAAGCGGCCCAGAGTTGGCCCCCGCTGCTCGTCCAGGTTCCCATTCCCGGGTTCACGCGGCACCGTTCCCCGATGGCCCTCCCATGTTGGGTCACGCTTTCTTGCGCGAGCGACAAGAACGATCGACAGGGGCCGCCATAGCGGGAACAATCCGGAGAGTGGGGCCGAAACGATCATGACACGTCATCTGCACTGCAAACCGGCGGGGGGGAGTTTCCCGACACGGATCTCAGCGCCCCGGCTCACCGTCATCGCCGTGAGGAACAGGGCGACCATGGCGACTGCCTTCATCTTCGACCAGGGATGCGCAACGGGCGCCTTGGGGTGTGGGCGTGGCCGGTGATCCGAGTTAGGGGACGGCGGGGAGGGTCCCGACTGTGGACGAGGGACCGAGAGAGATCGTCAGGGGTCGCGGCGGGAGACAATTGGGCCCTGAATGGGACCAAGATGGGACTCAGCGAAGCCGCCGGCTCGATCAGATCCACGCTGCGCCCGCCAGAGGCCGAAGGCCGGCGCGCGGGCCGTGCGGCGGTAGGGGCGCATTTCCATGCATGTATGACCCATGAACAGCAAGGAAATTGGAGGTCACCGCTACGGGGGGGTTTGATCTGAGAACAGAGAGAGGCAGCAAGGGCCACGACCGCGGGCAGCACGACCCCCGCTCGTCGGAAGAGTCTCTCACCTGTGGGGAAGGGAGCTCAGGGGAGCTGAGACGCTTTCGCTGGTGCAGTTCCCCCTTTTAAGCCCCACGAGGTGCCGGCATTACAGCCGCAAGTACAGCGCGATAGTACCAACTCTCTACACATTGCAGCCATCAAAGGTTATTGAGTGCATCAGTCAGGCGGCACTACGTGTCCATGGCCACGTGGTCCCGCTGCCGGAGCCATCGATTCACACGTGGAGGCGAAGGTTGGGCTACGACAGGAAGGTGATGCAGGTTCGCGTGTGCTCGGGCACGCCAGATGCCGCATCAATGCCTGCTGAGGGGCACAAACTTGCAGCGTGTTGAAGGGTCGCAGGACGGCTCTGCTTGATCAGCGGCATCGTAGATTGACCCCGCTGGTCTTGTCAAATCCAATGTATCCCGGAAGTTGGGGGCGGAGTAGGAAGATGTTGCGCGCTGGTGTCAGATCCGCACCGCGAACTCCTGCCATCAAACGGCGCTGGCTGTCACCGAGGCTGCGCGTCCTGAGGGGCGCAGGACGGTTCCGTTGGATCGGCCAAGCCTGCTGCAACAAAGAGGGCAAAACCCGGAGTACTTAGGGGCTTGCGGGTGCTGACTGTTTGCGGGGCCACGAGCTGTGACGGCCAGGTATGGGG